CCCACGAGGCCTGCCATGGCGCCCTCTCGGACACGCCTTCCTGGAGGTCCATACCAGACTTGCGGAGCCCGGGGTTATTAATGGACTCCCGGAGAACACCAGGGCAGTCCTAAATGACTGAAGAGAAACTGAAGGCCTTACTGGAGGATCTCTGCCGTAAATTTGCGGAAGATATTAACTTATTTAAAGAAGAAATTAATGGGGTATTTGTGCACCTACATGACGCTGAAATAAACACTGCTGCCCAAGAGGTCCCAATTACTGGTTTAAAACATGAATTGACCATGCTCAAACACGACCTGGCCCAAACCCAATGACAAGTAGCAGCCATAGAAGACCCCAGACGTTGGAAATTGTGAAGATAAAAGGTCTGGCTGAGAGTGTAGATTTGACGGAAATTCCCCACTTCATTCGGAGACTGCTATCCTGCATATTTTCTCCCAAACAAGCTTAAGCTATGACCCTAGATGATTGCTACCGATTACCTCAACCTCAGACTGCCTCCTCTCAAACGGGCAGGGATGTTATCATCCGTTTCCAGCACGGACCAGACAAACAAGCCTTCATGTCTACGGTCTGCAAGACCTCTCCGTACCGATTTGAGGAACATTCACTGTTGTTCTACCCGGATTTCTCCCGTGCCACGATGACCTGGCAATGGTCCTTGCGACCCTTGACCTCGGTGCTGATACAACACACAACGCCTTACAAGTGGGGAGCACCAAGAAGCCTTTTAATCCTGCTCGAGTCTGGGACTCTCAAAGTGACCGAGGCCTCTGAAGTGGTCAGCATTCTCCAATAACTCGGGCTCTCGCCAGCAGAGACAGGATCACAGGCACCGGCACTCCCAACGCAGAAGACTACATGGGACCTCGGAGCAGTTTGGCCATTTGTTCCAGCTATCCAACAGCGCATCCACGGGACTTGCCTGAATGTTAAATGCCAGCTCATACTAGCATTTAGCTATTCCTTAGTTTCTTTTTGTTATAACAAAAGCAAATAGCATTCTACCTGTTTTGGCTTTTTATTATTTCCCACTGCATATTTTGACAAAGGATTATAGTCCTTTGAGACCCGTCCAGTCCATTCTCATCCCGTTGGTATAGTTGTGTAGGTACCCCTCTCTCTCATCCCCCCAGCCCACTAACTTTAGCTTCAAGCAGCTTGCCTGACATTAAAATAGTGGGTATCTGCCTCTTATTTTATTTTTTTTATGTGTCATTGGTGTTTACACCTGTCCTGCAGAGGGTGTCAAGAGGCATGCAAGCTTTCTCTACACTTAAACAGTAACAAACCATGCTACTAGCTAACGCATTAGGGGTAGCGGGCTTAGTTTCACTATAAAAAATTGCTACTGTTTCTTCCATGTAAAAAAAAAAAAAAAAAGAAACCTCAATCCTGCTGTTACTAAGACAGTTATGTATGTTATGCTACACTGGAATCGTACTGTATTACTGACTTCTTTTATGTTATGTATGTCTCACTTGTGGATTGACAATAAAAACAGATTGACAAAAAAAATAAAATAAGAGAATGTAGCAATTTAGTTTATAAGGCAGATAAATGTACAGCATTCTGTATTACACAGGATTCATACAGGAGAAGTAGCAAGGTTGGTCCTGTCTTGATGGAGGATACCCACAAACCACTGTGGGAACAAGACTAGGTGTGGAATTAAAAAAAAAAAATCTGCCTCCTAAAAAACCCTCACCATAGTTAATTTTTATAAAAACGTCTAATAAATAAGTTTATGGCAGCTGATGGCCACTTGCTGAAAAAAACTCCCGAAGAAAGAAATGAACATCACATTCAAAGGTTACCACTAGTCTTCTAAAATTAAAAATGTCAAACCATACACTCAATACAGCTTATAAACTGGTAAGTGACATGGGGCCTTGAGACCAGTGTCCCCAACAGGAGCTTAGATTTAGGTCTGGAGGCTTGGCATCCCCAGATCTTCACTGGGTTAAGGGGATGGGCTTAAATATATTGTGTATTGGTACCATCTGAGTCTAGATGTTATGGAACCAAAAGGCAGGACAACCCTTGGTCCCCTAATAACTAGTCTGGAGGACATCATTTGTATATATCATTCTTGAACCCACAGGTCAGGGGATGGTGAAGACTGGGCTATTCTTCAGTACCTCTTGGTTAATAAGGGTCTATGTAAATACCCATTTGACTGTTTTAAGGAGAGACTTTCCCTAGATCAGCTTTAGTTTTTTGGGGAGAGCTCTAGAAATCATTTTTAGTTGTTCATTTCATAGTAAGCCATTGCAGGTCTGTGGGTTATGGGGGTCTTACAAAATCCTCACAATTAAAAAAAATAAATAATAATCCATATGTTTGTGTGCTTTTAATGTCAATTCTATAGCCAAGAACTTTGCTCTTTGCCACTTTCACCTGAATTCATGAAAGGATTACAGCTAGCATTGTACACAGCATGGATGCACACTTATAATTTGGGTAATCAGTTTTATAATTGGGTTTAATTACTTGTTTGTGTTATTTCTGCTGAGTGCTACTTTGCGCTCAGCAAAACCATTGTTGCCAGAAAAGGCATTAGTTTTCCAAAATTAAGAGAAATAAGCAGCAGATTGATATTATTATTGACCAGTCAGTAAGAAGAGTTTAAGTTAGAAAATTTGTTCGGTGTTAAATTATCAGTGAAGCTTCTAAGACAATTGGATACAGAAAAGGAATCTGGCAGCTAGCAATGTGAGTAGAATGCTGAGCCAGTATCCTGCATCAACAGCCAAATATTGAGCACCAGCCAGAATTTACAGTTTCACAGTAAATGCAGAGACAAGATGTGTGCTACTTGCAATATCAGTGACTAACAATCCGTCTGAGATACGTAGTATTCCTTCTCTTCTTGACTGCTGGCTCACTCCTTAATGACTGCAATTAGCCCCTTTATCGCTGCCCCATGACCAATAACGAGGAAGAGCACCATGTTAAACTGGGTAGGGCATCAGTGGCAGATTTTATTTTATGTGCACAACTTGCCAGCAACTGACCGGTTTTAACAACCTGCCAGTTGAGAACCGGCAGACAGAGAAAGGTGACCTTTTCCAAGAGTCTGGGTGAGTCTGCAATCCGCCATTAGCTCTTCTGCAGTTCGCAACTTTCCAAGCCCACATTCGGTGATTTTTTTTTCTTCACCGAACTGCTACACTGGCAAGGAGCACTGCTGCTGTAACAAAACAAAGGACAACACACAATACAAACCAAGACACATCTAGCACAATACCACTTTTAAATTTAAAAAAAACCAGACAGGAGTGCAGGAAAACAGGTCACCCTCGCTCAACCTTCCTGCTGCAATCCCACCCCATATTTTCCCTTATATTGACCCGCCAATTTTGCAACAAACTAACTACTTCCCTTCTGGCCAGGCCCGTATCCCTATGTACAGCAGTCATGATTTCCCTTCCACAGCGTTGGGGGATGTCTTTCTTATGCCACTGTGTTTCTTTCTTAGGGCACTGTACATTCATGATTTGGTTAAAAGTGTAGTTGTTTACCTGTATAACTTCATAAAAGATTTTGGGTACTGCTATTAATATTTATTCAAAAAAAAGATGATTTTGGACAAGATGAAGGGAGACAGATTAATGGGGGACCAGAGAGAGATTGATTATTATAATTTATAAGAAAAAAATAACATTTCAGAAATGTGCTTTGCAATTAAAGAATAGGGATATTTAACAATAAGTAATTTACAGAAACAAATAATGCTGAATGTTGAGGTAAACTCCTGCTCGAACAAGCATACAATTTTGGAGATCAGAACCCGCAAAGAGTTGGCATCCTAAAAATGTTTGGTTCACAAGCACCTTGTATATATTAGGATAACATTCTCATGCGTTGAGGCTCTTTAATAATGCGACCGGGCCCCTTTAATAATGGCAGCTAGTGCTGTGAGCCTGTCACTTCCTCCCATAAAAAACCTGAGCTGAAGGAGAAGGCAGAGAGGGCAAGAATTGGGAGACCCAAAGCCTAACTTCCAACAGTCTCAGCTAGCACGCTGGACACCAAGGAAGCCGTTGTATTGTACCTAAAAGCTAGGAAACAGGAGAATAGAGAAAATGTGTATATATTGACCAGCTTGTTTATTAGTATGTACGTGTGTCAGTGTGTGTATTTGTATGTATGTGTGTCAGTGTATGTATGTTTGTCAATGTGTGTGTCTGTGTATCTGTATGTGTGTCAATGTGTGTATATGTGTGTCTGTGTATCTGTATGTGTGTCAATGTGTGTATATGTGTGTCTGTATGAGTGTCGGTGTGTGTATCTGTGTATCTTTATATGTTTCAGTATGTGTATCTGTGTATCTTTATGTGTGCCAGTATTTGTATCTGTATGTGTGCATGTCTAACTTTGAGTGTGTGTGTATCTGTGTATCTGCATATTTGTCAGTGTGTGTAGATGTGTGTATGTGCATCTGCATATATGTCAGTGTGTGAACCTGTATGTCTGTGTATCTGTGTGTATTTGTGAGTTCATGTATCTGTATGTGTGTCCGTGTATGTATATGTGCATCTGTGTATCTGCATATGTGTCAATGTGTGTACCTAGGTGTCTGTGTATCTGTTTGTAAGTGTGTTCATGTGTTTGCATGTGTGTATTTGCATGTGTGTCAGTGTATTTTTATGTGTGTCAGTAGTGGTGTATTCTATGGAGATATATTATTTCTTCCTGATTTTTTGTTTTAAGAAAACAAACTCATCCTATTCTCATGATTTCCCTGCCCGTATTTTTTCCATCATCTAAAATGGTGATTTTGTTAAACCCTCTATTCGAGTGGTACATGTATGGAGACTTCTTAGCTCTTATTGGACAATAAGGACGCAATGATGAACCTCAAATCAGATCAGACGTCGGTCGGAAGAAAGGAACAGTGGACCCGCAGGGATCCTGAATAGACATGCGGCCATCTTGTGAAGGTCAAATACATGGCCACTGAATAAATAAGGATATCCTCCATATTCAGTGTGGCGAAATCGTCCTGGAATCTCTATATATGGACAAGGGGATGGGTTTGTTTTTAATTAATCCATATGTATTGTGTTTAATTGATTATGTATAGTATATAAAACATGGCTAATACCTTATGTTATATGAACCTGAGGAAGACCCATTTTATAGGGCCGAAACGCGTTGTGCTTGTTTTTACTCCTTTTTTGTTCTAATAAAAGTTTTAAATTTACTTTTGATTTGGTTCCTTAATTACCACAACAGAGGAATTACAATACCTTCTGGGGGACCTGCACTTACCTGATCCACCTGCATCTGATTAATTTAACTGCGATTACAGTTTAGAGCCGACTCAAAATGGCTCTAATTATTGTGAGTGTTCCAAGTTATTTTAACCTTTTATCGTTGTACATATATACTGTCCTATGATGGCATTTTAAGTTTACAAAATCTAGGTACTTTTACAACAATACCAAAAGAACCATCCACCATAGTGTGCACAATCATCCTATCTTGTATTCAATTGTTTGTATGTAAGTGTTTTAAGTGACTAAACACTTGGGTGATTTTTAGCTGCACTGGGTTGTACTTTTTTACATTTTGTTGGATTTTAGCGCTATTCCTTTTTCCGTTTTTACTTTGGTTATCTTTATGTGTATCTGTGTGTCTGTATATCTTTTATGAGTGTCAGTGTTTGTATGTGTGTCTGTGTATCTGGGTGTGTGCATGTTTGTCAGTGTGTGAAGATGTGTGTTTATTTGCATATGTGTCAGTGTACATACCTGCGTGTAAGTGTGTAATTGTGTGTCCATGTATCTGCATGTGTGTCAGAGTATGCTTGTGTGTGTATGTGCATCGTGCTAACACTACACACAATATCTCCCTGAATTCAAATGTCAACGCTACATACAAACACACCCCTGCATTCAGACATCAACACTGCATACAATCACACAAATACACACACTGTATGAAAACACCAACCTTATACATAAACACACCTCTGCATTCAAAGAAACAACACTACACACAAATACATACAAACCCTGCTCAGTACTTAATACAACCATGCAAGATTAAGCAAAAGGTAGAGCCCCAGCTGGCAATGCATGTATGTACGTAGCGGGGAATTACGATGCCACATAAACATAGATAACCCCAATAAATCCCCCCCCCCCAATAACAACAGACAACTTAGTATGGATGAACAGGCCACAGCATTTATTATAACATAAATAATTTACTGCATAACACATCCATAACTTTATTTACTAAACTCTTCTTTCTGTTAGAAATAAATAATCATAAATTAACATATATACATATAATAACTAAAACATAGTGCTATGCAGAGACCCAACCGTCCTTGCCAATAAACATCAAGTGGTTCCTAATCACCACTTCCTCTCACCTCCCCCCTCGTCATAAAAAATCCTTCCAATGCCCGCCATCAGCCGACCTTATCCATGCTTGATGGGCACGATACCTCAGGCAACCTAATGTTTAACCTTTTGAAGCAGGGGAGGTTGAGACCTGCAAAACATAAAAACTTACTCCATCCTTAAACATAACCCCTCAAACTTATTTGGCAAGGACATACCCCCGGCTTGCTGTGACTAACTGAAACTACAAAGGGATGGGCAGACGGGAAGTTGTTTGCTGGCCCGAATCCCAAGTGGCACTGAGGTAAGACCTCCCCCACACTAACTCACATTAAACCTAACCCCTCCCACACACACTTCCCAAGTCACGTTTCAATTTTTATTTTATTCTACAGGGATTGGAATTATTATTATTGAACGGGCATATCCTCTCACTTTAGGCTCGAACATTGGCACAACCACAACAGCAATCCTGGCAGCTCTAGTAAGTCCTGGTGACAAACTAGCCTGTGCTTTCCAGGTAAGCTCTGTGATATACTTAATTTGTATACCACATATATTTAAAGTGGCACTGTTGTGGCAGAATCCTGTTTTGTTTTTTTCACCCCCTCCTGACTCCACTACATCTAATTTCCCCCCTAGTTATCTCCAAAAGCCATTAAGCCCCCATCTTACCTAGATTTTTATCTTTATTTTCTACCCGAACCTTTGTGTGGGTAGATGAAGTCCCTGTGGGACAGGTCATCTGCCCACACTAGATATCATTGTGAAATACCCACGCATGCCCAGTTAAACACTTGGGCATGTGAATGGGAATTTGATCTAGTCATTAATTTGTCAGAAAGACAAATAAATAAATAGAAATTTAAAATGAATGAACGAAGACCTCTTTGTTCGTTCATTTGGTTTATTACAAGGAGGGAGCTACCAGCGCGCTGCTCCCTCCTTGTAATATGTAAAAATAGAAGCAGCAGGGAGCAGTTCTCCCCGTGATTTCCTAAGCCCCCCATGTCCTCCCTCAGTCTATGGGGGTCAACATGACCCCCATAATAGCACAAGGGAGATTCAAATTTCCCGAATGCCCCTACCCTAGGGACGAGTAGGGCATGTATACTAAACAGTGAGCAGCCAGTGGCTACTCACTGTTAAAAAAAGCCCTCTACTGTCCCCTCTCCCGAGCCCCCACCTGTGCCACGTGAATGGGCGGAGGAGGGGGCTTTAAATGACAATGGGGGGACCAGTTGTCCTCCCCCACCGGCCCGCACCCATGGGTGGCAGGTGGGGGCTGAATGTAACCCCCCCCTCAGGTGACTAGGGGGTCCAACATTTACCTGTCACAGCTCTCTGATTGGTTGGCTTGGAATCCAACCAATCAGGATTCTCTGTGTCATTTAACACAGCTTGGGAAAGTTATTTGGAGTTTTCCCATGCTGTGTAATTTGAAAAGCATCCAATCACAATGTTATGAGTCAAATTACACAGCATGGGAAATTTCCAAAGAACTTTCCCACGCTGTGTAAAATGACACAGAGCACTCTGATTGGTTGGATTTCAAGCCAACCAATCAGAGTGCTGTGACAGGTAAATGTAGAGATTTACCTGTCAATCTCTTAATTTACCTGTCAGTGCACTCTAATTGGTTGGCTAGAGCACTCTGGGCCTAATTGTAGGGCTTGGGAAGGCTTTATAAGCCTTTCCACGCACTGTGGAGCTCAGTCTGTGCGGTGCCCTCGCTGGGTGAAGATGGATTCTTTTTTTATCGTCTGGATTTTATTTTTTTTGTCATACTTTTTTTTTCGCTCTGGTTTTTCATTTTATTTTCAAAGTTCGACGGGTATTATTGATTTTTATTTGGCCTTTTTTGGGGCTGAAAAAAGACATAAATGTTGTCTTATTTACAGGTGTTTAGTTTTATTGTTCCCTCCTCACTATTTCTTGGGTGAGGGGGGTAGGTAGGAATTTATTGCATTTTTGGGGGGTGAAGGGCCCCCACCCACCGCTCATGGGTGGTGGTCGGGGGGGAGGACAATAGGTCCCCCCCATTTTCATTTAGGGCCCCCACCTGCCGCTCATGGGTGGGAATCGGGGGAACAATAGGTCATCCCCCCTTCAGTTTAATAGCCCCCACTCATGTGGCACGGGTGGGGGCTCAGGAGGGGGGACACTACAGTTTTTTTGTTTTGTTTTTTTACAACAGTGAGCAGCCACAGTATTTACTTAGTATTAGTACATTTGGCTGAAAGACCAATTTAGGTCTTTCAGCCTTTTGGTAGATAGCTCCCTGATACCATGGGAATTAGGGAGCTATCTACTAAGCGGCTGCAAGATGCAGCCGCAGCACAAATCGAATTGGAATTTTTATTTATTCGAATGAAATTCCAATCCGAACAAGGTCCCGAATTGCATCCTAACACGAATGGAGGAACTGTTCTTATTCTGTTAGGACAAAATTCAGTAGTTTAGCCGGCATTCTGTCTAAGTGACAGGACATTCGGGAATACGGACAAGAAGCATCACAAGATCACAGAGAAAAGGTAAGAATTGTGGGAAAGTTTCTCTGACCACAGGAAATGGAGCACACTTTGCTCCTCCGCTGGTCATAGATGGTCAGGAAACCTCCATAAGACAAAATAGTCCCTACTTTGTCTTATGTTTTAAAGAAAACTAAAACAGAGAGAAAGAAATGAAGAACATATCCTGAGAGAGGGAGATAAGAGGAATCGATTGGGAAAAGGTAAGTTCGGCATGACAGTGCCGCTTTAAGGGGATCTTGTGTTTTGAGGCATATTATAATTTCTGTTTTTATTTTCATCACAGATTGCACTGTGCCACTTCTTCTTCAACATTTCTGGCATCTTACTGTGGTACCCATTTCCTTTTTCGCGACTCCCTATTCATATGGCGTAGGCACTTGGAACGCTAACAGCCAAGTACAGGTGGTTTGCTGTTCTCTATCTCATTCTTTGCTTCTTGATCCTCCCTCGCTGGTGTTTGGAATTTCTATGGCTGGTTGGCAGGTTCTTGTAGGCATTGGGGCATTCTTACTAACTCTCTTCTTCATTATTGGTGCTGTGAATTTGTTACAAATTCACAATCCAGGCTGCTTGCCAAATCGGCTGCGGACCTGGGACTTCCTCCCTGCATGGATGCACTCTCTAAAACCCATAGATAGAATAATAACCAGTGCTACAGTGTGCTGTACGGAACAGTGCACATGTTCCAATTGGAATGAGGATACTTCCTCTGTTTTCGGACCTGAAAGATCACCAAAACAGAAAGCCGGGATGTGTTACGACAATCCAGTTATCTCATACGTGGATGACATTTCTTTCTCCAAATCTCCTGTTATGCGTGGTAACATCCTGATCCACAGTTCTACACAGTTATAATTTCATGAACAGTCATTACTTTATTAGCATTTTAATAGACCGTTAAGGAACCCTAATACAGTCTGCTATGTCAAGGTGATTTCCAGAAACCCATTATTTTACTTTATACTGAAAATATTCATCTGACAAAATTTGGAATCAAAATTTCCCATCATTAAGCGTAAACTAGAAAAAAATGTTGTATACCTTTCATGTGTACATGTATCTATGTATTCACAAAAGCAACAAAAGATCCATTAGCGTATACCTCCCATGACATTCTATGAACCAGGAAGCCATTGGGAGAGGGAAAAGGGGTTGGCCAGTGATGGAAATTGCATCACTGGTTCTGCCCAAAGAAGGTAGACCCACCTGGAATGGGGTGGGTCCACCTGTAGGATTGACAGATCAAACTGGTATGAATTTTTTTCCAGGCTGCCTCTCAATCACCTGGCCCACGAAGGACAGACCATGAAGGAAGAACTGTTTCTGCAGGGTCCTAATGCCCTGAGCATAACACAAGAGCATCTCATGATGTGCTTGCGCTACCTATGCTTGTTGGTGACAGTTTCCTGGTGTCTCCAAAACCTGGATACTAGGTAACAAAGTCGAGACACGACCCAAAGTTGGGACTGTCCTGCTGAAATCGGGTTGGTTGGGAGCTCTGATACGGTCACTACTACTTTTATAATGATTTACTTATAATTAATATGTTTATGTCAATAACTAATCTGTGAATCAGCTCTGTCCTTGGCTGCACTTATAAATCCTAACATTAATTACATAAAGCTTAAAGGCGTTTATGGAACAAAATTGGATAAAGGGTTAAACAGCTCTGTATATAATGATATATGATACACTGTGTCCTGTACATAGTGGTTTTATGCTTTACATCCAGGATCTTTTTGATTCTACTGGGAAAACCAAGCTTACTTGCATTAACCGGAGTAGAAATAGTACTAATTAGGAAAGGGATCTTATATAGCCAATTTGAAGACATGGAGTCCCTTAACACACACAGGGATTATGTATTGAAAAAAACAGGATTAGCATCTAGATAGGCGTTTGCACCCACTTTCCCCCTTATAAAAAGGCCTCTCATGACAGGTGCATTGTCGCCATATGGGCTGGAGGAGCTGACCATTACCTTTTTCCCAACCCACACCAATGAAACACTGACACTTTAAGGGATGGGTCAATATGTCCACAGCTTTTATTTATAATATATAATAATAATAATAACGATAATATATAAATAATATAAAAGTCATTGCCCACCCCCACATCCTCAGCCATCCATCATTATCACTTTTCCACATATCAATTCGCAAGGCAATGACCCATCATATATAACATAACATAACATTGTATAACAATCCATAAGTATAAAAAACAAGATCCAACATTTTCCACACGATCCTGACAGGGGTATACCTTGATACCCCTACACCACCTGGGTTCTGAGCTACCAACGAGCTTGAAACCACCAACATCTTACTAACAGGTTAACAGTCCATATTGAAACAGCCAACTCACTACTCTTGCTCTACGCTTCCTTAAGCAGGCCTGTTACCCCCTTAACTTTCCTTCCACTAGCCTGCCACAAGCTCAGACCTTGACCCCTTAAGCCGTCTGAGCTCTGCCACCCAGAAGAAATAGAGCCTTGGCCAAACCCTCCTGAGCGCCCAAATTAAATAAATCGATCCCCACCTCTGAGAGGTGCACCCCATCATCTCTGAAGTACCCTGGTAGCATGTCCTCTAGTTCCCTGTGCCAAACTACCACCCCACCCAGCTTCCTTACAAAACTGGCCATCAACCTGTTAACCTTCCCTCGGCAGCGCCCTATAGCTGCCGAAACCCGTGCATGTCGCCAACGGAGCCAGGGAACTATCTCGACCATACCAACTGAACACCCGGGACCCAGGCCCTGATCCTGTTCACATCCTGCTTGATGCTTTTTACTAATAGCCGTTGCAGGATAAGCCCAAGACCATTACCGCCTGCATGCAGCACGAGCACATCTGGCCGCCTACCCCTCGTTACCATACTAAGGACCTCGCTACACACTTCCTGCCAACCATAACCCCTGTAACCAAACCATTGTAACTTAATCCGGTCATCAGGGAAGCCCAGCTGTTGACCCCGAAAACGAACTGCAGCTCTCCTCTTGGCCCAGAATATAAAGCAATGGCTCACAATCCAAGCCACTCGACCTAGGGAAGAAAATAAATGTCAGCCAGGGACCCCACAAGGCCAATCCCCACAGCAACTGTTCACACCATCTTATCCAAACGAACATGGGACCGGAACCTCACCGATTCCCACCGCCCAATTTTCTTGACCATTTCATCGAATCTTCCAAGCATGCCGTCCCAGGCTGCCACATCTCCCAGGGCATTCCTGACCCTCCTTCATCGCCTCCGGCGCTTCCATCCGGAATCAGGACCACTGCAAACGAGACAGTGCATCATACCCCGGGACATGACGAGCGCAGAATACTAAGTCCGCAGCAGGTAGTTGCATACCTGAGAACCAGCCAGGCCCACACAGAGGAAGTCATCCAAGTAGTGAACCACCGACTGATGCCCGGATTCCTCCCTAACCACCCCTTCCAGGAAGGTGCTGAACTTCTCGAAGTACGAGCATGATATAGAGCAGCCCATCAGGAGGCAAAGTAGTGTCCCTCGAAAAAACACCCCAGCAAGTGGTGGCATTCCGGATGCACAGGTAGCAACAGGAACGCTGCCTCTATGTCCACCTTGGCCATCAGCGCCCCCTGCCCGGCCTTCTTAACCAGCTCGACCGCGTGATCGAATGATGCGTACTAGAACGAGCATAGCTCCCTTTCAATATCATCATTCACTGACGCCCCTTTCGGGTGCGACAGGTGATGTATGAGCCGATACTTTCCAGCTTCCTTCTTGGGGACCACCCCCAACGGGGACAACCTCAAACCCCCAACTGAACCTCTTTAGAAAGTTTCTCCCGGACCACCCCTGGGAATTCCCCTACCGACTTCAAGTTACAAAAACTTGAAGCAAACTCCCTTTCCCGGTACGGGATAACGAACCCCTCTGTGAACCCCCCCGCAATAGTTCCGCATCTCCTGTATTACCGTAATGGTTTAGCCACGGTAACATCACGTCTATTCTCACCAGTGTTTTGCCCCGAGGCAGCAGGCGCTCCCCCCCCGGGCCCCGCGGTTCCTTCAGCCCCACCGCCTTTCCCTTTTTGGAAACATCAGTGTAGGCCATGCGCACCCCACACCCGGAACACTCGTGCTTCTATTTGCAGGCCGAGCCTCACTTGCATTGCCCCTCGTTGAACAGCCAGCAAAACCCTTTTTTATGAGAGGCCGACGCGGGGGACTGTCCCTATGCGCCGGCCGCTTGCTGAAAGGGAGATGCCTTTTGTGCCATCATAAGCTTCATCCAGAGAGGGAGATCCATCTGGTCCCACTTCATACCCAGATTAGCTGCCAGCCGTTGGCGGAACTGTTCATCGTACTTCCACCACGCCATCCCTCCATACGTACGGTAGGCCTCCCAGATCCCATCGAGGTAGCAAAATAAGGAGGAGCAAGTCCCTGGTGATTTCTCGCCAATCACGCTGGCTAGGATACAGAATGCCCACGGCCAGTTCTTGCGATACCTCTTACGCTTCTCCCCCTCCTCCTCTTTTTTTGCGTCCTTCTTCTCCTCCTCCTTGAGGTCAATGTAGTCTTCCAGGGGGAGAAGCACGAAAACCTCTACAAACTCACCCTTCCAAATCCTGTCTTTCATGTCCTGCTTGAAGAATACCCCCAGTGGGCCAGTGAATGAAACATACGCGTTCTGCTGCGCCGCATCCGCATCCATGCCCTCCGCCAATTCTGCCCTCTCGTTCGCCAGGTCCACCACCGCCGATAACCCCACCGCGACACCCTGTGACGTGTGCACAACCCCATCGGCGGCCCTTGCCGCCTGAGCCCATACCCGCCCGCATCTGACGGCTGTGTACCCCTTTTATCCCACGTGTCAATTAGCTGTTGGATAGAGTGTAACAATGCAAGTGAAGAGGAAGAAGAGTGCAACTCACCGCCCAAGCCCCTCGTAGGCAACGGCCTAGGGGCTGCTCCTTGGGGTCCCACCAGGTCACACTGCACCGACACTTCCTCTCTCCCACCAACCGAGGGGTCCACCCGATGCCTGTAATAGCCGAAACATGATCCACTGTCAGACCTGGAACAAGAAGAAGAAAGCCTGGGCTGGTTGTACTGTTCCGTGTTAGCCTTCCCTGGGTATTCCCGGGCGCGCAGTGGCCTCCTCCTGGCGTCTCGCCCCCGATCCTGGCCTTACCCCTGGGACTCCTGCTCTGCTCCCGTCTGCGCATAGGTCCGCGCCTCAGGGCCAAAGAGCGCTCCTCCGAGGAACCGCTGGCATCAGGAGCCACCCGTGCAGCAATACCAACACCTCTAGGGGGACATGACTCGGACCTCGATGCGACCTGCCCAGCGCCGTCATCCGGACCTGACCTGCACCTACGGCCTGTGCCAGGGGATCTACAACTCCGCAACCTGCCCTGCGCCTCGCACAAGTCCTGACCGAAGCGCGACCCTTCTGTCCCACCTGCTTGCAACTCCTACAACTGGCGGGCCCTGCGTCCTCCAAAGTGCGGTCTGCCAGACCCACCTGACTGCGCTGTGACTGCGCTGATCTTGCCACGCCCCCCAGAGCCCTGGGGGTTCTTCCCTGGTCCCTGTGTGCACTCCTATCCTCGACCCCCCCATGGGAAGGCCCAGCTGCACCCACCAGGCCCTGTGGCCCCAACAGGCCCTGCGCTGGCAAGTGATTATGCATATAGCCGTCCCCAGCAGCACCCTGCGCTCCTACCGGGTCCCCTGCATTGCTGACTGCACTGGCCCCAGGCCAGTGAGGGGGAAAAGCCCTGGCAGGCCTGCTATGCCCCCCAGCAGCACCGATACATAGGATACAGATACATACTAACAGACACACATACTGAAACAGACATACACGCATACAGGCATACATACAGACACACACATACTGAGACATACACACATATACAGACACAGGCATACATAGTGACAGACAGACACATACTAACATACATACAGACACACATGCATGAGGACATAAAGACACATACATACACACTGACATACATACAGACACCGACATACATACACACATACAGACATACATACATTCATACATACAGACATACTGACAGACATACAGATACTGACATCCATACACACATACATTTATAATGGCATACAGACATACATACATTCAGACTGACATACATGCATATATACAGACATACTGACATACATGCATACAGACATCCATACACACATACACACAGACATACATTCATAATGATATGCAGACATACATTCATACTGACATACATATATACATACAGACATACACTGATACTGGCATACATACATACATTCAAATATACATACATGCATACATATATACATACATACTGACAGACATACAGACATACATACAGACATTCATAATGACATACAGACATACATTGATACTGGCATACAGACATACAGACATATATACATACATAGTGACAGACATACATAATGACATACATTGATACATGCATACATACAGACATACATAGACATACAGACATACATAGACATGCATACAGACATACATACATGCATACAGACATACATAGACATACATACAGACATACACAGACATACATACAGACATACATACATAAAGACAGACATACAGACATACATACATACAGACATACATACATACATACAAACAAACACACACACCTCATTTTCCAGCCACCCTCCTGTCTTACCTTTTCGTTGCAGGAGGGGGGCTGGGGCTGATGGGAGTAGTCGGATGGCTCTCCCTTTTCACCGCGCAGTGTGAGCTGGGAGGAAGTGACCATTTGAGCCTGTCACTGCACCAGAGCTCCGCCCCCGCCGCCAAGCGCCAGCAGATGCCAGTAAATCCTGCGCACCATCACCTGCACCTGCTAGGCTGGACGCGGTCACACCCAACCCGGTCCCGGCACTCCCCGCATCCACGGGACCCGGGCTCAAACATTGCGGTCTCCTCCGCCGTACCAGATGCCAGCCCTCGCGGCCAACTTGACCCGCCGCCTCCAGCACTGCACCAAGTTGCTCACACAGCCAGTCCCTGGCAGCATCCTGGATCCCTGTCATCAGCTCCTCCAGCGTCTGCTCAAGGCCCCCTCTGCTAAGCTGCGCTTTCTTATTGGGGCTACAGAGTGATGCTATTATGGTGCTCAGTAATGGCTCAGGGTGTAATCAGTGATATAGTGGTCGCAAAGTGAGGACAACCTATATTTATATATATTATTTTTTACATATGATATAGTTTTTTTAAAATATATTTTAGTATTTTTAAAATATTATTTTAAAGGTTTATCCAAAAATAGTAAATCATTGGATAAGCTTATTCAAAAATAGTCAATTGAGGCCTTAATCAGCTGTTCTTTAAAGAGCACTTCTAAACTTAAGCTCGTTACACTACAGAGGTGTAATGGCTACCTTCAACAATGCTGTGACAAATTCAAAGTATCGACATTAGGATTACTAAGTGCCTTCTGTATTTGAATATCAAATATAAATTATGTTTCATTTGTTTTATTATTATTAAACAGATTCCATGATTTCAAGGATTTGCAGTATGGTATACAGTAACACACAAATCAAAATCAGCACAAACAATAGGAGATTGAAATAGACAACATTTGAGGTGGTATCACTCACAACTTATAGAGCGCTAATGCCAGTTCAGGGGTGAGACATCATTGTTTTCCCTTTAACCTCTTAAGGACCAAACTTCTGGAATAAAAGGGAATCATGACATGTCACACATGTCATGTGTCCTTAAGGGGTTAAAGGAGTATGCTTCAACCAAGCTTTACAGAAACAATTGTATTTATTTGTCATGCTATTTTATTATAAACATCTTGCCCACAATCATTTGACTGAACTCAAGTATTTAGCATTTTCTCTGAACTTTAAAAGGTGACTAAACAGTGACTTAATAGATTTAATAATCAGATGTGGAAGTTGTGAAGCATGCACCTACCAGAACAGGGATAATTAATATAGCAATGCCCATCTTGTGAATTACCACATGCTGTATTCTATGCAGTACTCTGCAGTACCAACTCTGCCACCGTTTTGTAAATAGGCTATAAGTGTACTAGCCTGAAACACCAGCCACATGTGTGTGCAGCCGCAGTTCAGACTCCAGCATAGTGCCTCTCTGGACATGTGAACACTATACAAATATTTGTACATAAGAAAATATAGTGCCCTTCACTTGTAAAATAGGTATGTGTAAGGAGACAGGGACAGGAGACGTTCATGCATTACAACTTATGTAGTAAGCATATGTTATGGTGCTTGAATATTCCTAGCATTTAACACAGTGATACAAAAATGCAACACATGCACACAAAAATGTTCTGCTTTAACTTCACATTCGCTGTGCCAGAGAGGGAGAGTTAATCTGCTGTGCCAGAGAGGGAGAGTTCATGTGATAGTCTGTGATGTCCTTTGTATGGGTTGTATACATTGATTCTATTTTTTTGAACTTTAATTAATACTAATAGCCATCCATGAAAATTTATTGTTTTGTGCATTAATTGCCATGTGCATTAGTGAGGCCAGTGCAAACTACTATTGCAAGTATCAATTTTTTATTTAATGGAGACCTTCGTTCTTCAAATGCATTAGGCCAAAATACCCATTATGCTTGCCGAGCACATTGGGAGTTTAGATCCTACAAGCATATTTCTGCATCTGCATCTGAAACCAAAACCACCACAAGAGGCACAAGTATAGGAAGTGTAATGTGTGTAACAAGGTCTGTAGTGGCTTCCTATTGGTAACCCTGTTTGCTCCATTTAAATTGCTCCATTTAAGTTCCAAGCATTGTTAACATTTGGGAGTCATCCCATGCCTTGTCACCTACATTAAACTTCTTCTACCTGCGCCTCCGGTAATTGTTTTTTATGTTAAGTTTGGACAAGAAGGAGAGTAGCATTTTCTGGAGTGCAGCAAATTGGGGAAATAAAGTTGATATTAATAGAATGGGTATAGATTTTTATTTGGCAATATTTCTGCGTCTGTTCAGGGAATTTAAAGCTCCCTGACCTGAGTGTTAATTACATGAGCACTAATTAACCACCGGGCAGCCCTCATGGGATGGGATAGTAAGTGAAATGCTTGGCCTATATAAACCACTGCTTCATCTTACCTCATTACATAGATTAGGCTGATAAGTGTGCTCTGGAACAGCATTAAGGAGCCAGCTAGGCAACTTTAATGCATCATTAAGAAAGAAAAAGAACCTTTCACGTGTAAGAGCTGTCTCAGAAGCTGTTATATTTAGATATTCCGGGTTATTTATTCTCATACCCATGACCTTCCAACAGAAGTCCTCGCTGCGTACCATTTGCAGCCGTACCCTTCGTCATACCAGTGCCCATGGTGTGCCCAACATAATTTATTCCAAGGGTCGATGGAGAAGTTGTTGCTGGTCTGCATTTGTGTTGCTAGTGTTGGGTTGCATGATATGGCAATGCAGCCAACTTACTGCAACCTACCTTCTTTACCCTACCCAAGAGAAGGTCACATTGGTCAACAGTGCCAGGCTGCCTTTTCCTGCCATCACCTTCTGTAACCTCAACCGGGCACGTAGGTCTCAGCTGAATTCTTCCAAGTATCAATCTTTCACTAACCATCTGTCTTTACTTTCAATGGGTGACAAGGAAGAAGGTCCAACAAATAATGCAAGAGAAAGGTACTTTGCCTTTTTTCTGTCACAGTTAAGTTCTGAAGAGCAAATGGAACTGGGACACCAACTGCATGATATGCTAATCTCCTGTGTCTTTCATGATGAAATCTGCGATGAAAGGTCAGTGAAAATGTTCTGTAAAACAATGTAGTGAACAGAAAACAATATAAAAAAAGCTCTATAAATATAGGTATGTTTATATTTACTATATGTATATTGCATATGAGGTCAATGAAAGCCATGGGGAGTTTAACAGCAGAAAAGAACTGTTATTGGTAAAAATGTCTTGTGAACCTTATGACCCAATTGTTAATGGGGCAACACAACTCATTAGACGGTTATTATTATCCTCCACCTAACCACAAACAAAGTGTGGGAAGAGGGACCATTTATTTAGGCATCACTGAAGAGTAGACGTTATCCATTTGCCTATTATTTTAGTGTGGACCATTGCACTCTCCCCACTTATTTTCACGAGAACCAATTTGAGATCTTTTGTGTTATTACTATGTAATATGACATATTCATATGTATTTCAATATGTTTGCATGGGATTCTAGTTAATGCTAACGCCAAAGATTCTCAGCTGCAGCACGAGGTTTTCATCTGTGCAGTGTAAGTTGTGGGCTCTGATTGCTGAGTATGGCATAATCCATTTAATTGTTTTTCCATTAATATTTGTTCTTTCAAGCCCTATAAAGCCCTATTTAGGCCGTTACCAGATGCTCAATTTTTCATGTTCATTCTGACACCAGCTGTACGGTAAGTTTACCATTAATGTTAAATCTACAGTAAAAATTAAAAATGCACAGTCTGTAAGCACATATATTTAAAGTGTGTTTTACTGCCAACAGCTAATTCTCCCAATTGGAATCTTGGTCGTGCTGAGTGACTGGTCTGAAAAGAAATTCTGTTGTGTATAGCTTACCTAATTCTAATTAGCGCTAGTTAGAGAGGTTTTCCTGATTTTTTTTCTTATGTTCCTTAAGTGTAGATAATGAAACCATGCAAAGTTTACTCTCTTTGAGATGTTAATTTCGAAATAACCAAAACTAAACAGTCCGCACTCATAAGGATCTCAGAATAATCCCCCGGGTAGATCACGCAAAGCACATACTTTATTGTAGAAAAATGGTTACCATGTCATAAAATATTTTCAGACCTCATAGGTGACACTCAATTCAAAATCTTAAAGCACATGTCACTTAATGCATATTCTACCATCCTCAGGGAAGTCCAAGGTTAAGGTTTTGTTTTTTGTTTTTTTTAAATGCAATGATACACAATACAAAAAAGAAAGATCTGCACCTGCCAGAAGGGGGGAGGGAGGGACAAAAATCTGAAAAAACTTGCAGTAACTGTTTCGTGCCAGTCCTGATGCTTTCTCAACATAAAAATTGTAAAAATACAATAAAGATGTATATAAAGGAATTATGTGTGGAACAGGAGGGATATATCATCCTCATCCCACCCAGGATCAATGACTTCCAATTTTCGTAGTATACCCTTGCACCAAAACAAGTTTCTGTTTTTAATGCAGGGGTGTCGTGCAGAAATTAGAAGTCATTGATCCTGGGTGGGATGAAGTGGATATATCCCACCCTTTCCTCCCAGGATTTCTTTATATACTTCTTCATGGTTTTAATTTATTATGTTGATAAAGTGTCAGGACAGGCGCGAAACGCATCCAGGGTTACTGTCTGGCTTTTTTCATTTTTTGTTCCCCCCACCCCCCTCTCCATTCTGGCAGGTGCAGGTTTTTACTTTTTTGTATTTCATATCATTGCATTTTTTTTTTTTTTTTATTAAGTGGCGTATGCTTGAAGATTTTCGATTGCCTGTCACTATTGAGGTCTGCACACATTTTATAACATGTTGTTGACCAATTTTCTAGAATAAGGTATTGCACTTTCCATGATCTACCTGGTGGATTATTTTGAGATCCTTTTGAGCTGTTTGGCTGGTTTTGGTGATTTCTGCATGTGGGATTAACCCAGCACCAATATAAGGATCTGGGATACATTTAGTGTCCAGATTGTCTTACATATTTAATTCTCCTGTGGAACTGGAGTTGCAGCAACAAGTAACTAAAGAAAGGCTTTTCCTGTTCATTTTGACCATGGTAATATCTACTGTGGATAATTCAGTGTACGGTAGTACCAAGAGTTCCTTCTGCAAAAATGTTGTAGGTTCATTAATTTTAGGTTACTACCCTGCTATAAGGAAATATTTTCAATGCAGATGGACTTAGAGGACCATTGAGTTTGAGTTGTATTTCTCTCATTTCAGCTTCTTTACACCTTTCTTAAACCCTAAGCTTGGAAGTTGTTACACCTTCAATGGGCCAAGACACACAGGTCTTCAGTCAAAAGTCCAACAAGCGGAAGTTCTAAATGCCACCAAGGCTGGATTTAGCTATGGTGATTTACAATTCTTCACTATCATTATATAAATGGTCATGACGACAGGCACAAATGCTGCTTTATCTGAAATTGGTCAGTCAGTATCCATATTGTGAATGTTCATCATGAAGTATTTAAAGCTGTAAAAAATCATCTGGGGGCAAATTAGCCAAGCTAGGAAAATAGGTGGATAATTTTTCCAGTCTAGCTCCATTAGCCCAATATATACTGGATGCATTCCGGCTTAGTGAATAAATGTGTGTTCTATTTGTATTTCAGATTAAGCTACTTAACGCTACTTTTAAAAAAATAAGGGAAATAATAACTCATCAGTTTTACTAAGCAGCTTCACATTTTCCACAGTAACACTGCATGAAATTTATGTGGCTTTGATCTAATATATTATAAGGAATTTAATAATAAAAAAAAATTTTTTATTTCAAACAGGAAGGAATTAGGCATTTCAATTTTCGAAACAAAATAAAAAAAATGGAATTGTCAAAAATAAATATACATTTTATATATAACTATGCATAAGAATTATTTAGAAAAGCTGGTAGCAAGAGATTTGTCGTATTTTAAGAACATGCTTGAGCTAACACTATTTTAAAAATAATTTATTTTAAATGGTGTTATTACTTTCCATTACCGAGATCAAAGAAACATCAAAAAGGCAAACCAATTAGCTTTCAGTGTTATTTATGTAATGTATGCAGGGATTACTAGAAAAAAGTGACGTGATAAGACATTCATCTGGATATGGTTATTTCCGCCCATTTCTGGATTATTTTTCTAAATATAACCTGTGTATATGTACACATTTTTTTTTCTTCCCTTGATCAGTTAGTTAGAGGATACAATATCTCCTTTTTTTTCTTCTAACAGGTCTAACAATGGAACTCTACATAGAGCAGAGCGAGTATATTAGTAGTTTAAGTACAGCAGCGGGGCTGAGAGTCGTTCTACATGGACAGGGAAAGATGCCATTTCCGGAGGACGAAGGGGTGAATGTTCCACCTGGCCAGGAGTCAGATATTGGTGTAGTGAAGGTAACAGGTTTTAAAATCTTATACCTAGTATGCCCGACACCCCCTTCATAGAAGGAAAGGAACAAACAAATACAGCCTTGCAATCCCACAATAACAGCCCAAGGTCAGGGATTTTATGTTCTTATACACTAAACTTGCAATCAAAACAATTGTTTCTTTTCTACCCTCCATGTTAGCATATTTGAAAAGTATAAACTATTGACAATGCCCTTCCACCGAATCAGTATGAAATATTGCATTTACAGGTATATGCTCTGTAACAGCCATGTTGCATATTTGTCATAATGTAGATATGTATCTCTTTGCAATAGGTTCATGTTAAACGGTTGGCAGAACCCTACAGCAGCAGATGTAGCAGTGGAGAAAGCATCAGGAATTACTATGCTGATGTATATGGGACCGATTACAGCCGTGAGGCAGGTTTCCTCCAGCTGACACTAGACATCTGTATTTTTTTTACGTATTTGTTTAATTTGTATATATTTTCCCTCCATTTCCATTATTAATTTCTTCCTGAGAAGACATCCACGTGATATCTTCATGTACACATACATAGAGTACATTATAGTGTTTCCATTTGGCTTTAACTTAGGCGTGCAAGAAGAGTTGTGCTCAGGCTAAGATGATCAAGAACTGTGGCTGCAGAATGTGGGAGTTTCCGGCACCCCCAGGGTCTGACGTGCCCCTTTGTAACATTAGTGAACCATCCGTAAGTAAGTATGAACCATCTGAATATGATTTATAATGATTCATCTATTACAGTGAATTCTATTAGCCACCTATCAATCATATTAAACACAATTATTCTATTCTGTTGGTAGATGACTGCGTTGAAATGTATGAATATAAGCTCTCCCATGATCAGCTCAGATGTCATTGTCCCCTTCAGTGTGAGTGAGTATCACCAAATATTGCTGCCCTAAGCCTATTCACTTTATGTGCCCCACCAGTCCTTCTCTACCATCTCAGAATTTTGTTAAAAGTAAAATAAGGAAAATACTTAAAGCGGCACTGTCACACCGAACTTACCTTTCCCTAATCGCTTACTCTTCTCTTTCACTGTCAGGATCTGTTCTTCATTTCTTCCTGTCTGCTCTAGTTTTCTTTAAAACATAGGACAAAAGAGGGACTATTTGTCTTATGTAGGTTTTCTACGCCTCACCATTTATGATCAGTGGTGGAGCAAAGTGTGCTCTATTTCCTGTGGTCAGAGAAATGTTCCAACAATTCTCACCTTTCTTCCGTGTTCTCGCGATGCCTCCTTTCCGTATTCCTGAACGCTGGTAAAACTACCACATTTCCTCCCTAACAGGATGAGAGCAGTTCGTCCATTCATATTAGGACAAAATTCTGGACTTTTGTTTGGATAGGAATTTCATTTGAATGAATGAGATTCCGATCTGTGCTGCAGCTCCATCTTGCAGCCGCTTAGTAGATAGCTCCCTAATTCCCACGGTATCAGGGAGCTATCTACCAAAAGGCTGAAATATCAAGATTGGTCTTTCAGCCAACTTTACTAATCTTAAGTAAAGATTACTTAGTATTGGTAATTAATCTGCCCTCCTCGCTATATCGTTAGTAGGGGCATGTCTAGTAAACAGTGAACAGCCTGTAGCTGCTCACTGTTATAAAAAAAAAATATATATATTTTCTATCAAATAGTGAGTATGTTATCTATTTACAGGGATTTATGTTTATTGTCTCCCCCCCCCACTATTTTTAGGGTGAGGGGGGTTGGTAGGACTAAGGGGGCTTAGGAAGTGGCAGGGAGCACTGCTCCCTGACGCTTCTATTTTTACATTTTACAAGGAGGGAGCTGCGCGCTGGTTGCTCCCTCCTTGTAATAAACTAAATGAATGAACAAACGAACACCGATATCCGGTGTTTGTTTTTTCGTCTGAAATTTCTATTCATTCATTCATCTTTCTGACAAATGAATAGACGAAATTCCCGTAGGGAATGCCCAAGTGTTTAACAGTGCATGCGCTATCTAGTGTGGGCAGATGATCTACCCACACAAAGATGGCGGCGCCCAGGACCTAAGTCCGGGCAGAAAATAAAGATTAAAAAATAGGTAATATGGAGGGCTTAGGAGCATTTGGAAGTGACTAGGGCGACAATTAGATGTAGTGGAGTCAGGAGGGGGGTTAAAAAAAAACCTGAATTCGGCCATGACAGTGCCGGTTTAATAAACCTAAAAGACAATTAGCATTTACAAGGATGTTTTTTTAAAACTTGATAATCCAAGTCACTGAAGGTTGTTTTTCTCCAACCAGGGAAGAGATTTTTGAACTGACTCTCTCGTCGTCACAGTGGCCAAGCAGCATGTACCTGGTAAGTAATGCTATCTATCACAAGGTATCTGATATCTTGACGGAAAAAAATACATAAATACTGAGTGCCGAGCATATATACTAACCTGGAATGGTGAAAAATTGATAAAGGCATTTCATATTTTAGGTCGAAATGGACGAACAGGTAAGCATTGTCTAATTCGGCTATTTTTCCATTTTCTTGCCCTAAAATTTGCATTTTTTACATTTTCATACAAATCTCCAATTTATTGAATACACCTCTGCATATATCTCAAGATATTTACTAATACATCAGAAGTTAGACCAGATTGGCCACACGACTGACTCAGCAAATGCCCAGCCCGCTGATAGCTGTAGGTTGCAGCCATCTTCCCGCAGCTCTCCAATACGATTAAAGGGGGGCAAAATGTATGAAGTTGGCATATTTACTTATTTTGTAACTATTTGCTTCTCAGAGAACGCACCTGTAGGGCTTCTTTAAAATAAAGTGGTGTGCAGGGTCTCCATCATCGATAAATTCCTTAAGAGTGCGTATGTACATGTTAGTTTGAAAGTAGCTGTGTGCAAGTAAGTGTGATTGTGTAAGACTCCCTGGAATGTGATAAAATAGCATGTACATTCTACGAGGTGGGCCAAAATTCAGCATAGGATTTCACAGGTAAATAACTCATTTGTTAGTAGTTTCATTGTTTTGTTGTAGGGACATATTATAACTGAGTCTAGCGAGATTCATCACGGGTAATTCTGTAAAGTAAAAATTAAATTTCAAGAAATTCCCAAATTTTTTGGCCGTCATGTTCCCCCTACCTTTCAGCTACCAATTGTACCTATACCTATACGAAGGAGCAGGAGCAAACTGCATACACGGCTCAAGGAGAAAATCCGTGCAGAAATTCGAGCTCTAGAGCCTCAAATATTAACTAATGTTACGAACAAAAGCAATCGAAAGAGCCCAACTTTGAGAGGCGGCAAATGAAGCTCATTTAAAACATTTCATCTTCTGTACCTAGTCAAACAAGTATTCAGTATTTAGAAAATTGGGCAGACTAGATGGGCCGAATGGTTCTTATCTGCCGTTACATTCTATGTTAAACAAACCTCCATATGTTAAGCCTTCATTGTAAGTAATATCATTGAAGTTGGTTTGAAAAAATAAAAATGTTATTGACTCATCAAACTCTACTTTGAATTTTGGCCCACCCTGCATTTTATATCAAGAGTAACTGCTGTACTTTTTTTCACATTTGAAATCTGTTTTAAAACAATCATTAAAAAATGTAGTGGCTGTGCATGGATCACCAGTAAGGCTTATAACAGATTGTGAAATAAGTACCAACTTATAAAACAACCCGATGACCAGCTTGATAGAATGGTCCCTATTGCATGTAACATAATAGTGATAGAGTCCGTGATACATCCCTTGCAAGGTTTGTTTGTTTTTTTAACATACCTTATTCATATTTTTTAGGACACGTTTTCAAAGCGTCTCAGCAGCAGGAGAGGATATCAACAACATACTGAAAATATTAGGTTAGTCTAACAGTGAAATTTAATAATACACAGCTGGAGGCATTTGCTTCATCTATTTTCTTATAATTATTAAAACTAAAGTTTTACACTTAAACATATCTAACAGGGATATTTACTAAACAATTAGGATGGTGAATTCTCTGCATGAACAGGTGGGTTTGTCAGAGTCTGTACAGATGTTTAAACTGCAACTGGATGAATACTTGCAAAAACATAATATTCAGGGATATATTTTTTTAAATTGTGGGGTATTCGCTTATTAGCTATGTAACAATGTAATTTCAACTTTAAGGCTAGATTAGCTGAACTGAATACGTAGCTGATTTAGAGAATTTTTTTTCGGTTTGTCTACTCTGACCTTAAAGGGACACTACAGGCATATGCACAAAGTTAGTTTAACCCCTTAAGGACCAAACTTCTGGAATAAAGGGGAATCATGACATGTCACACATGTCATGTGTCCTTAAGGGGTTAATGAAGCAGTTTTTGTGTATTCATCATGACACTGTAGTCTCACGGCTCAATTATCTGCCAATTAGAAGTTAAATCACTTTTGCTTCTATCCATTGATACCTCCTAAATTCCTCCAATTTTTGCCAGAAATTTCCATTTCAAAATACAGTCAAATTTATAGTAGCAGAAAAATATTCATAAACACGTTGCAATTGGGAAAAATTTTACATGGTCAAAAATGATGGTTAGGGTGCAAGAAAAACAACAAATAATAAAAAAAAATCAGACAGGTTTAATAAACTGGGCCAAAAATGTAGATGCAAAAATTATCGGCAAAACTTTGATAAAATTCCCCCAATTTTTCCATAACAGTGATTCTCAATAAAATTAACAGTCGAAAACACAGTTGTGCTGGAGCATTTTTGGGTAGGTGTTAATGGTGCACTTGTGCCAGCCAGACTAATTTATCTGCTTGGCGAAGGCAACACAAGGGATGAAGCTGTCAAACCCATCCTAAAAGCCAATGGCAGAACATATCATATTCCATTTTTCTTCACCCTGAGAAAGCTAAGACGGCTTACTACAACCTTTACAAACATACATGAGCCAAAAACACTAGCAAGGAAAATGTAATCTATATCACAGGGCAAAAGGGGTCCAACAGTGGCTTCTTCTTCTGTCCAAAAGTCTATATTTTTTTCTCACTATCCGCTCTCCTGAATACACTAGTCAGACCCATATTATTTCCATATTGGTTATGGTTCATTATTATTATTGGCATTAATATATCGCCAACATTTTCCACAGTGCTTCACAATTATAAAATGGGGGCATTAGGCAGCAAATCATTTACATACGGAATATAACAGAGAAAAGAGGTGAGGAAGGCCCTACTCAAACAAGCTTACAATCTTTCAGACAGGTGTACTCCAATGGCTGATATGTAGGAAACTTAAATTCTCAATCATCCCTTGAAAAACATTTTCCTGGTTAGTGAAGGATAACCTTACACACTTCATCTGCCCCATCATGCTGCTGTAGTGCTGCCAATACCTTTTTACCAGTATAATCAGGTAGGGTAGCAGGTATGACAGGTGACTATGAGTCCTTATAGAATAGTATGCGAAACACAAACATAAAACAAAACATAAATAAACAATGAGCAGCTTAAACAAATAAATTTAAAAAAAAACATTTTTTGTTTTGTTTTGTTTTGTTTTATCTTGTGTTGATTAATATAAACAATACTCACCCAATGTAGATTCCTTTGGGTCCACCTTTTGTCCTTATATATAAATTTGCATTAGCTCAGTAAAAGAAGGATGTGGGCTGTTTATTCACTACAACTTACTGGCCTCGTGTATTTTGAAATATACAACCACAAAGACATCCACGTGTCCCAAGGCAGAGACATTTTCCTATGCAAATCACATTAAAAAAATGCCTTCTGAAGAAATGCTAATCATAGCATAACCTGTCTGCATTTATTGTTTGAAAATAGAAATTTGCAAAACAAAAATCGCATATCATACAAATCATGGAAATCTTCTACTTTGTGTTCATGGCACAGGTAATGCGAAAATCTATAGACTTAAGTTTCTCGTCTTTCATTTTGTTTCCCAGAGATAATGTGGTTAAGGTTGTGGTATATTATCAGCAACTGAACTATGAACTGATAGAAGAAGTTCCTTCTATGCAGGTAAGCTCCATAATGTCCCCAAAATAAAATCAAGTATCAGTGCCTTCTATCTACAAAGAAGTTCATTTCTCCTATGTATGTTTCATGTAAATGTTACATCAAACATCTTTTTTATTCACCAATTAACTTCAGGATTTCTGTGGGGTTTTTATTTTTTTGTTTTATTATTTTGCAAATATCGATTGTTTTTTTTTTTGTTTTTGTTTTTTTTTTACGAATTACAGTAGGGAATTCGTAAGTTTGCTTAAAATACACTGCTCAAAAAAATAAAGGGAACACAAAAAGAACACATCCTAGATCTGAATGAATTAAATATTCTTCTGAAATACTTTGTTCTTTACATAGCTGAATGTGCTGGCAACAAAATCACACAAAAATAAAAAAATGGAAATCAAGTTTTTCAACCCATGGAGGTCTGGATTTGGAGTCACACTCAAAATGAAAGTGGAAAAACACACTACAGGCTATGTAGTATTGCAAATGGGGTATGTCCAGTCTTTTTTAGTAGCCACTTAGTCACAAACACTGGCCAAAATTAGCATTCATAATAGTTTTTTTGCATGTTTAACACACAAACAAATATAAATGCTAACTTTGGCCAGTGTTTGTGACTAAGTGGCTACTAAAAAAGACTGGACATAGCCCATATTGAATACCCTGGGTTGACTACATTTCAAAAATATATGGTTTGATGGGGGTAAATTACATTGGCTGACTTCAGAAATGTCCCAAATAGGACATGGGTGCATGATGTGGAAATCCAGCTGTGGAAATTCCAAGTTGGAAACTGGAATGCGCACCCTCCAAATATGGTCTCTTAACCCCTAGAGAACCCGACACACCCATACATGGGTGGTATCACCGTACTCAGGAGATGTTGCCGAACACATATTGAGGTGTTCTTTGGCAGTAACCCTTAAAGTTCTGCGTACATGTATTCTTAAATTGCTATGTGTGTCAAAACAAATCAGTAATTATCATTTTTTTTAAATTTGGCATATATTGGTAGTAAAATGGTTGCATGAATAATCAAAATACTCCAAATTTAATACCCTAGGTTGTCTTCTTTAAAAATATATATACATGTTATTCAGGGATTCCTGAAAGATATCAGTGTTACAATGTAACTTGTAAAATGATGGTTTGGAAATAGCACAGTGCTACTTGTACTTATGGCCCTGTAACTTTCCAAAAAAGCTAAGAACTTGGGTGTTTTTTGGCAGTTTTATAGAAAATTATATGATATGATGAAAATAATGTTATCTTTAGAAAGACCATTTAATGGCGAGAAAAACTGTGTATAATATGTGTGGGTACAGTAAATGAGTAAGAGGAAAATTACAGCTAAACACAAACACCGCAGAAATGTAAAAAGAGCCCTGGTCTTTAAAGGTAAGAAAATTGAAAAACGGTCTGGTTACTAAGGGGTTAAATGCATGTATGTTTTCATTGAGGGTATATCTAATAAATAGTGATTTAAATGTATTTATCTTTTAAGTGGAATGTCCCTTTAAGTTCCAGTAAGTACTAGTAACTATGCTCATGCAGTTATCTTTTTTTGTTCTTTTCTGCAGCTCGTAGACTTGTTTTCTAGCATCGGAGGTTTGGTCGGACTTTGGATTGGAGTCTCAGTCTGCACAGTGGCTGAGTTTTTTGAACTGATACTGAATCTTCTGACATTTTTTATTCGTCAAATTCCAAAAAGAGATGAAGAGTCACCTACAAACCCATATACAATTCCAGATCCTGATCCATGTTCTCCTGGACTTCAGTCAGATAACTGTTTTGCATGGGATGATGATGGTTCTAATCTTTTGGGGGACCAGTATAATATCATCCAAGGCATACACAATCCATACGAGTACAATACATAACCAGAAACCATGAGACGCAGGAGCAGGTTAAGAGCAGGTGGATCTCTGGGGCACCCTAATCACAAGGATCTCTGGGGTACCCTAATCTCCAAGATGTTGGGAGATGTATGGAGTGTAAAGAAGCACATGGCAGATATTGTTTATTCAGTATTGAAAACATGTAACTGAAAAGTTCATTCAAACCACCAATATACAATAAATAAACTACACATTTAAAGAAATTGACCTACTGTTGGCAAATGATAATTACATTTACCGGTAATCCAAAAGCAATAGTGAATTAAGTGAAATTGTGTCTTGTTTGGGGAGAGAATGTGCTTGCTTTTCTAATCTACAAACAGATAAGTATGAAAGTAATGACAAATAAAAAAAAGTCAGTGTATGCTTTAAAATGAGAAACTTAGCTAAAAAAGGTTATTCATTAAAAGTCATCATAGCCAAACTGGAAAAAAATAATTAAAATCAGCTATTCTTTCCATTAATCTACTCTGGCCTTCAATTTAAAATTCATTTTGAACACTTATTTTAGTAAAAACCCTGCCGCACACATACTCACAGCTCTCCCTTTCTCTTTTGTTTTGGAAGATACTACAGGTTTTTGGGCTTTAGCAATCACCAGATTCCATGTTTTTATAACGAGCTGGAGCCAAGGTTCATAGGAACTACATGGCTGTTATGTACCGCTAAGGCAGTATGAAGCTCAATGTAGAAACTGTAATTCAGTTTCATCAATAATCTGTAGGTTAGAGCAGGTCAGAAATCAGACAAGTCTCACGTGTCATTTAGGGAAGAATATAGATTAAGGAACAGTGCGCACATAAAAATATATTTTAACATTTTATAAGGCTACTTAATATCACCTATATTAGCCAACAAATATGGGTCATTCCACCATATGGCCATATCGTGTGAAGCCCACCACTTTACGGCAGTACCATTGCTGAGAAATGCATGTACCCGGGTGTGCCCCAGATCCTCTTTTTATCATTTTAGGCAGGGCAAATAGCAGGAATGGGAAAATTCCTGAGCAGAAATTTAGTTCAAGCAGGTCTAAAACAGGCAGATTGGATAACTATTGGAGATAAAGCACACATTAAGTTTATGGTGTGTTTTAATGTGAGTTGTATAAATTTATTGGTAAATTAGTTTTCAATCATTCTGTTCTCTCAGCCTAACAAAGTGTTGTAGTGAAAGGACAGAAGAGTTTCACCTTGACTTGTACAGCCAGATTATTGAAGATCTATTGATGGTATTTTCCCCCTAATATGTAACATGTTAACATGTGTAAACTATTAAAAAAACAACTTCTCCTATTCAATGCAGAGCAGGTGTGACTCTAACAAAAATCTAAGTAGTAACCCAGTGGTTCCCAAACTGAGTGCCGCGGCGCCCTGTGCACACAGGGGTGCCGCGGAATATTTCCCCGGTGCTATGACTATAGCACTGGGGAAACATTTCTGCTCAACAGGGACCCGGTCGAGTGCCGCTTTCCTTTAAGACGGCCTGTCACTTCCTCCTAGCATCCTGAAGGGAGGGACAGCGCAGGAGGGAGAGGAGGCAGGCGCAGCATAAGGGGAGAGGAGCATGAAGAGCTCCAGACCCCTCATTCCTACAGCAGCAGTACTCCAAGCCACCCTCCTGGCACATAAGGTAAGCTAACAGGAGCGTGGCTGGATATATTTTTGTGTATATATTTTTGTGTTGTGTGTGTGTGTGTGTATGTGTGTGTGTGTGTATGAGTGTTACGCTACTTGGGTGATTTGGATTGGAACTCAACTGCAGCTTGTAAAACTCCCTAATTACAATAGTGAAGAAACAGAGAATCTTTAAAGTATCAATACTGTAGCTTTAAGAAAAGAGAGAATTGCTGATAACTTGATTCAAACGAAGTTTTAATAAGTGTTAAACTTAAATGAATTGCATTTAGGCAATAATCCAATAAGAAGAAGTGCAAGTAATCAACAACACAAAGTTTATTAATAAGTATTTCCTCAGAGATGCATTAAGTAACATTCTTTAGGTTAATGAGAATAATCTTCAATAGTAACTTTAAGCAAGTAGCGGAATATTTGCAAAGCAGGAACAGTTCATAGTTAATAAGCATGATGGGAGTTGTCCTCCATACAATTAGTAGCTTGAAGCACTGAGTGTATTTGCAAAGCAAGAAATAGTTCATTGTGAATAAGCATGATGGGAGTTGTCCTCCATATAATTAGTAGCTTGAAGCAGTGAAGATTTAGTAAGCAAGCATTAGTTCATTATTAAATGATATTGTAGAAAAATAGCTGAACGATATACTTAAGGTTAATGTGAGTAGTTCTCCAATAGTTCAGAGGTATGGTCCACTTGTAAAGTAAGTGAGTTTCTGTTCTCCAGTAATCCTCTATGGCATGAAGTATACTATTCTTAGCCCAGAAGGCTAGGACGACATCAGAGCTTCTAGAGCTGGCGTGCATACTCGGAAGTAGGACCCACATTGCCAGAGCCTGTGGAGAGGTAAGTCTGGTGGAAGTAGCTCCCAGTATCACCAAGCCCCCTCTCTCTGGCGCGGTCTCCCTAAATACCGTCAGAGCTGCGTCAGAGGGGGGCGGGGTCCGGCTCCGCACAGCGGAGTGCCGAACCTGGAAGTGTTACCACATGACAATGAGTTTGAGTGTGTAAGTGTGAGTGTATGTGTATGAGTGTTTGTATGTGTGTGTGTATGAGTTTGAGTGTGTGTGTGTGTGAGTATGAGTGCTTGTATGTGTATGAGTGTGAGTATTTGTATGTGTATGAGTGTGATTGTTTGCATGTGTATGAGTGTGTGTGTGTGTGTCAGGGTGTGCATCTGTGTGTATGTATATATATATATATATATATATATATATATATATATATATTTATATTGAAGAAAGATGCACTCTCCGGTCTTTTTAAGAATATTAATGGTCTTTAATCCATCAAAGGTTTACAGGTTGTTTGATCAATGTTTCGACCCATTCGGGTCTTCCTCAGGATATATATATATATATGTCATTGTGTATCTATATGTGTATGTGTCGGTGTGTATCTATATGTGTGTATGTGTCTACATGAATTTGTGTGTATGTGTCGGTGTATTTATATGCATCTGTGTGGTAATGTGCAGAAATATCTGTGTAAGTATGTATGTATATGCATACATCCAAGCAGTGAAACACCAGCACAACATACAAGCATACTCCTGCAATCTAACACAAATATTACATACAAACATACCCCTTCACTCAAGCACAAATACTTTACACAAATGTACATCCGCATTTAAAAGTGAACATTACATTCAGACACAACCCTGTATTAAAACACAATAACAATATACAAGCACCCTTTCAAACACCAACACTGTACATTACACTATAGCGCCAGTAAATGCAGCAGTGCTGTACAGATACACAACCTAGAAATTTTGACTTCAAGTGCCTTGGAAAAATACTGAAATATTAAGGGCGCCTTGAACTTAAAAAGTTTGGGAACCACTGTAGTAACCACTGAAAGTTCAATTAATATAATAGGATTAATACACTATTTGGCTAACCATAATACCAATTTCTTTTTTCTTCATCTATTTTGTGAGATGTATGGGTAACCTCCCCAAGCCCCACGGATCAGTGAAAACAATCCCAATTTTGATCAGGTGAAAGAATGCAAATAGGTATCCAATCTTTTTATCCCCGGCCATCCCCCTTCCGTCCAATACTGGGAAGGAGGACAAACTCCCATTACTAAATCAATTGTGGTAAAACTCCTCCTACTATTAGTCTTTTACAGATTTGAGTCAAGTCGATGAACTGCTTACCATAGATGCAATACGCTGATAAGTTTAACAGTTCCTAGACACAACTCATTAAACGCACTAAGAGTTCTAAAAACCTATGATTTTAAAACCTCTCATGAGAGAGAGAGAGAGAGAGAGAGATTGTGTGGGTGTGTGTGTGTTGCATTGAGTGTATGTCTGGCAGTTTGTGTATTTGTCTGGCTGTGTGTGTGTGTGTGTGTGTGGTAATGCATATCTGTTTGTGTGTGTGTGCGTATGTATTTGTGTAAATAGGAAATTCTGCTAAGGGAGCAAACCAGTTGATATGCAATTGGCTCCAAGAGTTCTGATGGCAGCCCTGGTATGTATAAACTTATCACATTGTATTAACCAGAATTAGTGTCTGTAAATACAGTATGTTTCCCAGAAACCGTCTCCAGGTGGCCCCACACCAGCTTTTGTTAATAAAATTGTACTCTAGAGAAGTCTGCACGATCAAATTGCAGAATTGCTATAGGTTATTCTAATCAAGCTTTGGTCATTTTGAGTTCACTCAGACATGTATCAAGAACTAGAAATATTCAGGACTAGCTAATCATGAGATTCCTTTTAATATTAAAAACATTGCATACATTCTATAGAGAGGATTCCATGACAAATATGGTAAAAACTGGTTCAAACAGCAGACATTATGGTAACCCTAGCCTGTTGGGGCTTAATTAGTCATGTGTATTTCACCATCTGTATTCAAGGCAGGGTTCCATCCACATGCCACACTAGTAAAATGGGTATTAGTTCTGAGGCTTGGGTTTCATTAAGTCAGTGTAAACTATGACGAAAAAACTGAGTTATACTACCTTGAAATTCTGTCTATTCATTTTTTTATTTTAAGATTGGAGTAAAATAACTTGACATTATGGGACAAATACAGCAATATCATGTTTTTCTTTTTAACATTAGCAAAGGTAATGGGGTGGGGATCTCTGATGTTTGTTTGACAGAGAGTAAGATGGTCAGGTATGCAGACTCATTAGAATAACATTGCAAACCGGGGGGCCTTCTTTAAATCAAAAGGAATCTCTCCTAGTTATCATATCTCAGGAATCACAAAGAAAGCAAACACACGTCCTGTTTATGAAAGTCAGCCCCACAAGATCCTGATTCCCTACCTATACTGTATTGTACAACAGAGCCGTTCTTGACTCGTGGCTTGGTGTTTGTATAT